CCCCCCCCCCCCGCGGCAGCGCCAATGGGAGCGGCGGCGGCGGGTGCCATGGCAACGCCCGCCACGTCAGCGCGCGCGGTCCCGCCGGAGGGAGAGGCGGGGCCCGGCCCCCGGTCTCCCGGGCAAGGGGGCGTCCCCGGTGCCGGTCCCCTCCGGGCGTGGCGGGGAGCACAGCTTCCCGGCAGAGCCCCACCCCTTCACGCTGTTCCTCCCCCGCGCCGGGCCCACGCGTGAAAGCGGGAAGCGGCGGCCGCAAGCAGCCCCCGGGCAGCCATCCCCACGGCTGTTCGGAGGGGGGACGGGGACGACACACGACACCCCCCTTCTGCAGCAAGAGAGGAGAGGCACACAGGGGGGGAAAAAAAACCCAAAACAACCCAAAAATCGCCAAACCCACGCAATGAGGCGGGCACACAAAAATCAGCGCCGGCCAAAAAACTGGTCATCCCCCCCGCCCCACCCCACGCGTCCCCTGGGGGCTGGGGAGCCACGCACGGCCCACGCCCCCAGAAAGTTGTGCAACTCCCCTCATCTCCCCCGGGGGAGCGGCCCGCGTCAGCCCGGCCGGTTCTCCCTCCCCGTGACATCAAGGCCGGGAACCGTTACGGCAGAGGCAGCCCGGTGTGAGTAAGCGGTGCGGCGGCAGGAGGCACAGCCCCCAGGGACGGGGAGGGGGACACGGCCAGCTCCGTCCAGGCATGGTCACCACCGGGACTTTGAAGGGCCACCAAGTCCCCAAAGCGGTGGGCACCAAGCACAAGGTGGTAGAGGGGCGCCATGGCTGGGTCACATCCCTGTGTCCCCACCCCACGTCGGGACAGGGCGACAGAGAACTTACTCAGCTACGTGACCGTAGCACCGGCGGTCCCAGGAGATAAAGTGTGCTGGACAACCCCCTCGTACTGAAGCATCGTTTATTAATCGTCTGTATCAAGCACACATCTGCTCAGCAACGGTGCGTGACGGGATACAGGAGTTGACATCTAACCCCACGGGAGGCACGTGGTTACAGACCCAGCACGGCGGGAGGAAGAGGAGGGGATGCTCTGGAGAGACGGCCTGGGTGCGATGGGGCGCTGGGGCTGCGCCGTCAGGAGGCTGGAGACCAGCGGGACTAAAATCAGGACTACAGCTAACATCAGAGCTGACTTGTGCTTCGGCCACAAGGGATTTAAAAAACATCTACCCTCCTTGCATATGATAAATAGGTGGAAGTGCAAAGAACTTTCCCTCATCGCTCCCACACAGACACTGGTGGCAGAGGAAGGACAGCTATTCTCCGGCTGGCAGTGACACTTTCTGTCAGAACAGCTACAAAACCCAACCACCACCAAGGACTGGCTGAGAGACACCGTGTTCCCTCTTCACACACGTTCTCCAAAGGGATGCAGCCCCTTGGAGTGCCTCCTCCTGGGGAGAAGGGCGGGATGCCTGCCCTGGCATCCCACCAGAGCAGGGCCAGCCTTCCCTGGCTGTCTCCAGAGGCTTCATCTTTCATCCCTTTCCCCTCCTCAAAGCAGATCCCTCCCTCAAAGGCAGCCTGTGAGTTTTCACATCTAGGTGTCACCCACCGAGGACCATACGTAGGTCAGTGCTATTAGGAAGAAGTTGTGTCAAGCAGCACAAACGGAGAAACCCAGTGAGCATCCAAGTAGAAAGCCTCAACGCTTCTGCAACTCAAGCAGGCAGTAATTTGGAGATAAGGAGAGCCAGGCCCATCCAGGCACACACTGCCACAGACGCCTTGGACTGAATCACCACACAACACTTAGATACAAGCCAGAATTAAGAAACCCACGGGTTTTAGCAGGGCTGAAACTTAGGCCAAGCCATCAGTAGATCACTGCAGACACCAGAGTGAGCTTCAGGTTGATAGTAAAAGGCTTTGAAGGCAGAGGGTGAGGAATAATGATAAAACTCTTCTGCTCTGAGGAGCTTCTAAACCTCCCTGTACCCCACAGCCTGCAGAGGGAAGCCATGGGCTGGATGCAGTGACAGGACAGAGATCGGCATCTTCAACCCTTGCCAGGATGAAAATAATAATAAAAAAAAGCAGCTCTAGGTGTTTTGCCCAGCTCAGTGCTCAAGCCTCATCAATGAGCATCTGGAGAAAAAATATCTGGTAGCAAGAGTTTGCATCTTGAAGATTTCTTTAGCTCCTATTAAAGCAGCTGAACAAAACCCCAGCCAAACTCTGGTGGAACAGCTCTACCATACTGTGGGAACAGGTTGTAGCTCCTCTCTTAAGATTAATCCTGGCATGGCTCTCCATCTTTAGTTGCAAATCCAAAGCATAATTCTGACTGAAAGAGACAGGCTTGAAAGATGACAGAGCAGTTCACAGTCCTGGAGAAATGCATGTGGGAACTTAAATGCCTGCACCTGTGCCCCAGCATCTCTCCATCTCGGTACCACTGGAGGTGACAGACCTCACACCCTGCACCCCGAGGGAGCTCCCCATGTCCCAGTGTGGGCTGGCACTCAGCAAGGCAGGAGCTCTTGGATCTGCTCGTGCCAGGTGACGGGGGCACAGGCAGCCAGCTGAATGCTGCTGACACGATGGCATTCCACACATGAATTTCTTAGCCAAAGCAGTTTCACCCCTGGCTCAGCCCACCAGGGACAGCAACAACACAGAGCTGAGGAGGTCAGTCAATACCTACCAATACTTAAGAGTACTTTAAACACTGCTCTTCACATAAGAAAAACCCTCACCCAGTCAATCATCCCATTCCTTCCAGACACTAAAGGTGCTTCACTGCAAGGACAGTTAAATTAAAAGCCATGAATCACACACCCCATCTATGCAAAGCTGCTTTACAGCTACGTACACCAAAGTAGCATCATCCCCAGAAAAAGTCTGATCAGCAAATCACACCTTAAAACTCACTGTGGGAATTTAATTATTTTTTTTTTTCCCTGGAAAACCTACCACCTCAAAGGCAACAGAAATATTAAAGAAATTGGTCCTTTCTGGGGGAGTTTGAGAAGGGCCACAGTAGACAGGACTCCACACCAGCACAGAGAGGAACTCAGACTCCTGAAATGCTACAGACATTGGACCTCCCGACACACTGCACACATGGCAAAATTCAAGAGGAACTTTTAAGTGCAGGATTCCAGCAAGTCCAGCAACAGCGAGACACAAAAAGTAAACTGCAAGGTAATTCAGGTATTATGCCAGGGAAGGTCAGAGACGGTTCAGGCAGCTGCCCGCAAGTATTTCAGCTGGAGAAAAGAATTCATGAGGGCTCTCCTCCTCACTAGAGGTACCGGGGCTGCAAGCCAGAATAGGCTGGTCCCTCAGGATCTTTAGGGCTGTTGTGTGCTGCAGACAGAGGCTCTGCTGGGTGTAGGGGTGTGCACAGCCCTGGGAAACAGCCACCACCTACCCCACGCTGGCAGCTGCCCGAGTGAGCTTCTGATTGTGCACTGAAGCCACACGAGCAGAGAACATGCTCTGGGGCGAGCACCAATGCTGCTTGCCCAGATCTTTTTTTCCCCCCAAAAGCACGTGGTTGTTGCCCCTGACACTGGGAAAGCCACGTCAAGTCTGATGACTGACCAAGCCCTTTCCATACAGGACCTTAGATTGCCTCAGGCCCTTTGTGTAACCTACGAAGGACCAAAAGTGTCAGTGCTTCTAATCTACAAGTCTAATGGGTCAATGCGAAACCAAAACACACAACACAGAAAAGCCAAGCGTGGGACCTACGACATACAAATATTTGTTCTTTTCTTTAGAAGACCGGCAGGGCAGGGGAGTCCTGCTGAGACACAAAGAATACTGCGTGCTGTAGCACTCCTTTCCAAAAATACACGTAAAGACGCTTACGTATTACAGATGATTTGGCATTAGAGCTAGGGAGCACCAGTGCCAGCACAGGGTACGTGCTAGAAAGATGATTCCACACAACAGGGTTTCCACATTGCCTCAGGCTACAAAGTGCTTACAAGTTGTGTTGGGACTGAGGCTGGCACTGCTCTGACAACATGTTAGCCACCCTCAGTCCCTGCCCACCCCAGGCATACAAGCAAGTTCAGTGTCACCCACACCTCGCTGCCTAAGCCCAGCATATGCCACCTGTGCCAGGTCAGACGGATGGCTCTTCTTGGGTCACGAGGCAGTGACAGGGTTAACGGGGTAGGCTCAGCAGATCTGATTTCACTGCCTCCCTTTGCTCTACATGACATGAAGACTCTAAAGTCTTCTTGGTCTAGTTTAGAGAGGATAGGCTTCTGGTTCTATATTTACCATAGATATCAACAAAAGGCAGGAAAACCTTCCGCCTCCTCCCCAGCACTGGAGAAGAGCACATGCGTTATAGGAAAGCTTCACAAAGGAATCCTCTCTCCAGAGCAAAGTCAAGTGCTGAAGCCAGGATTTCAAATGGTCTCATTTCAAATCACTTCAAAGCGCTCGCCAAGATCTGCTCGGCCTCCCAGGCTCCCAGTGTCACCCCTCCTGCCACCCCAGCGCCCTCCGGGGCAAAGCCACACACCCAATGTAAACGAGCAAGCACAACACACACACACACGAGCACACGCTGAAAGCCATCCCGGCCTCCTCTGCACATCACAAAGCAGCAGTAAAGGTTTCAAAGCCCAGTTAAGTCCTTTGCATCTCTCCTTCACAGATGACTCAAAAGCAGGGCTAGGAAGCTCTTTTGTACATTCAACTGTAAAACATGTGAGGAAGAGGAGCAAGACAACTCTCCTGATTGTTGCTACTGCCTACAGCAAGTTTTGGTACAGATATCCTCTCTTATAGGCACTCAGTGGGTAAAACGTAGCCACAACAAACTTGCCATCAAAAATCTTTCCAGTCAGCATTTTTTGGGCAGCTTTGGAATCACCAGCATTTGCATATTCAACAAAGACCTGAAAGAGAGAGAGGAGAAATAGGACTTCCAGTGCAGCTTGACACCCACCCCCTCAACTGGGGAAACACTTCCCAAACAATTTCCCCCCCACCTCTATCCTTGGTTGAGCCCAGAGCAGCGGAGCTCAAAAGGAAGGAGCTGCACTTCTGAACTGGAATTTCACCTTTTGCTCCTAGTTTCTAAGGGCAGCATATTTGGTGAGGAGGGAGAAAGTATGATGATGCTCCACATCCTCAATGCCTCTTCTCCCACCCACTGTCTTCCCCCCCTTCCCTCCCCTATCCCAGCTCCCCTGCTGAAGCTGTTTGGAGACCTCCCAGGCTAGGCCTTACATAACCAGGAAGGAACCTGTGCTGTCCTTCAAGATAACCAGCTATTTTTAGCTCTGTCATCAGCCAGAAGATTGCCAAGATGCGAGCAGCAGTCCCACAGCACATGGAGCATACGTGGGAATATGCAGCCTCTTCCCTCTGTTCACTTACTTGGCCTTTACCAGGATTCTCCTTTGGAATAAGCAAGGAAACCACCGGTCCGTACTTCTGACACTCCTCCCTTATGTCTTCCAGGATATCTGAGAAAGAAAAGAGCTGGTTGTCTTTCGCGTCACAAACTAGGATGAACCAAGAAACAAATGAAGACCAGATGAACACACCGAGAACATTCAGTCAACAGATAGTCTTTTCCTCTCAATTTAAAATAAACAATCGAGAGGTGACACGGTAGAAGCTGACACCGCTTAACGGCCACGTAACAAAACGAAGTGTCCGACCTAAGGCTCAGAAACACAGACGTACAGGCAGTGAATCCCCAACAGCAAGGTCTGGAGCACATGGACAGTCCTCTTTCTTGCCCACAAACCCTGGCCTTCGAGCAGAGAAAACATTTGGGATTTTTTTTGGTTACAGCTCTTGGAGGAGGGGAAACGAAGTAGCTGCCACAAACCTTTCTTTGTGTGAGCAGAACCCAGCCTTTTAAACCCATATTCCCAGAGCTCTCTTTTGCCACTCGCACGGATTTGAGAGCAAGCAGAAATGCAAATTCCACTGACATGCCTTGCCACCTACCATGTATAGTTTTTGCTACAGTTTAAGAACTCCAATGAGATATTTCAGTTCTCTGCTGAGATCTTGGATAAGTTCACTAGCAAACTTTTGAAGATCTCTGCTACTGGGCTCCAGAGTCTCGTGCATGTCCAGCAGAAGCTCAGAGCCACAAATATGTTATGAGGTCTGTGGGTATCTAACCAAAGAATAAAATCAAAATAAACCTTTTTTTTTTTTAAATCTGGGATTCTTTAAGAACTCACTACAATCTCTGCTGTCTCAACCTTTCAGTCTATTCTGTGTTGGTGCAGTTGACCCACTTAGTACCCAATCTCAGCTGAGCAGCTCTTTGCTGTTCTTGCGCCAATTAATTGCTCTTCTGCTCGCTCTCGCATCACCAAAGCCAAACAAAACAGAGTCTGTAAGACACCATTGCTGTATGGCAATTGCACAGCTTGCACCAACCTTCATACTCTTCTTCGCACTGCAGAGAAGCGTCACTTAGAACATTGAGCAGCCTCAGCACAGGCGTGGGGAGCATCACCAAATCTTCGATATGGGGAGCTGTTTGACACCCACAGAATTAGAGAAAAGAAAATAAATCAAAGTGCAAAGGAGCAAAAAAACAGGAAGTTGACTCAATATGCACTATTATACACAAACACTTACTGCTATTTGCAGTACAGTCTTGCTTCTTTCCACTATTACCTGCATTTACAATTGTATCTTCTCCCTGTTTCAAATTTATCTTCACTTGTGCACTTGCATTTACAATTGTATCTTCTCCCTGTTTCCAATTTATCTTCACTTGTGCACTGAGAGACTCTTCCAAAGTGTTCAGTGCACTCTGCCATTACACTGAGACCAGCACTTGAAACTGCTTTTAAACTCACAAAGCTAGCAGAAATTAAGACTAGGGTTATGTCTACTTAGCTCAGATTCAGAAACCGATGCGTGTCAAGTGCTACAACAGTTTAGCAATATATGGAGACACAGGAAGATGAAAGAACTACTCTGCAACCTGCCTCTCCTGTTACTGCTACCAGACAGGCTGAAAACAGGCTGGCCCAGCTTCTGCAATTCCAATTCTTAAGCTGTGCTAAGGCACAACCCTCAGCACTCTCTAGGATACCCTTTCCTTTCCCCCCATTCAGAATCCAACTACAATGCAGTAGTTTTAAGACCAACATATAATCTTGCAACAGAAATGGGGAAAACTATGTAGTTACTTAAGCAATGCAGTGCTACAGAATAGGGCATGGCCACAAGAGGGTGGCCACAAGGTGGGTGAGCAGTGATCCTGTGAACACCTTTACAGGAGCAGAAATAAAGCCCACTGCCACAGGGCGGCTGGCTCTATAAACCAAGCAGCTCCAGAATGGCCTGGAACCAAGCAGAATAGATACTACTGTGGAAGAAGGAAACAGCCAAGGTGGACAGACTAATGGCAGACTATGAGCTATGTCTGAGAGGACACCCAGTCCTCTAGAAACTCAAAGCAGCAGGGACAGTGTCACTTCTTCAAGGACAAAAGCTTGATTTCATGTTCCCGAAAGGGACTGGCAGGCCAGTCATGAATTTGAGACCTGGGAGCCCAACTTTCAGTACTTGGAGAGTGTTAATGTTTTTATTTGTATTGGCAGCTACACTAGCCAAACACAACAGCAGTACCTCACAGTTCTCCCACTACACAGTGACAGAGGGGAGAGAAAAGGGAAAAAAAATGGCTCTAATTCTACAGTTTGAGCCTTCTGACTATGTTCGCAAAGATATCAGGCTATTAGTTCCTTGGAAATACTTTTCCAAGTTAAGCATGCATTATGTATGAGGAGCTCACTTCCTTGCCAGGCACAGACAGAAGATGTTGATTTCATAGTGCAAGAGGAGGTGATAGGCAAGCACACATGCTATAAATTCGAGCAGAGAAAACATTTGGGATTTTTTTTGGTTACAGCTCTTGGAGGAGGGGAAACGAAGTAGCTGCCACAAACCTTTCTTTGTGTGAGCAGAACCCAGCCTTTTAAACCCATATTCCCAGAGCTCTCTTTTGCCACTCGCACGGATTTGAGAGCAAGCAGAAATGCAAATTCCACTGACATGCCTTGCCACCTACCATGTATAGTTTTTGCTACAGTTTAAGAACTCCAATGAGATATTTCAGTTCTCTGCTGAGATCTTGGATAAGTTCACTAGCAAACTTTTGAAGATCTCTGCTACTGGGCTCCAGAGTCTCGTGCATGTCCAGCAGAAGCTCAGAGCCACAAATATGTTATGAGGTCTGTGGGTATCTAACCAAAGAATAAAATCAAAATAAACCTTTTTTTTTTTTAAATCTGGGATTCTTTAAGAACTCACTACAATCTCTGCTGTCTCAACCTTTCAGTCTATTCTGTGTTGGTGCAGTTGACCCACTTAGTACCCAATCTCAGCTGAGCAGCTCTTTGCTGTTCTTGCGCCAATTAATTGCTCTTCTGCTCGCTCTCGCATCACCAAAGCCAAACAAAACAGAGTCTGTAAGACACCATTGCTGTATGGCAATTGCACAGCTTGCACCAACCTTCATACTCTTCTTCGCACTGCAGAGAAGCGTCACTTAGAACATTGAGCAGCCTCAGCACAGGCGTGGGGAGCATCACCAAATCTTCGATATGGGGAGCTGTTTGACACCCACAGAATTAGAGAAAAGAAAATAAATCAAAGTGCAAAGGAGCAAAAAAACAGGAAGTTGACTCAATATGCACTATTATACACAAACACTTACTGCTATTTGCAGTACAGTCTTGCTTCTTTCCACTATTACCTGCATTTACAATTGTATCTTCTCCCTGTTTCAAATTTATCTTCACTTGTGCACTGACTCTTCCAAAGTGTTCAGTGCACTCTGCCATTACACTGAGACCAGCACTTGAAACTGCTTTTAAACTCACAAAGCTAGCAGAAATTAAGACTAGGGTTATGTCTACTTAGCTCAGATTCAGAAACCGATACGTGTCAAGTGCTACAACAGTTTAGCAATATATGGAGACACAGGAAGATGAAAGAACTACTCTGCAACCTGCCTCTCCTGTTACTGCTACCAGACAGGCTGAAAACAGGCTGGCCCAGCTTCTGCAACTCCAATTCTTAAGCTGTGCTAAGGCACAACCCTCAGCACTCTCTAGGATACCCTTTCCTTTCCCCCCATTCAGAATCCAACTACAATGCAGTAGTTTTAAGACCAACATATAATCTTGCAACAGAAATGGGGAAAACTATGTAGTTACTTAAGCAATGCAGTGCTACAGAATAGGGCATGGCCACAAGAGGGGGCCCAGCTTCTGCAATTCCAATTCTTAAGCTGTGCTAAGGCACAAGCCTCAGCACTCTCTAGGATACCCTTTCCTTCCCCCCCGTTCAAAATCCAACTACAATGCAGTTGTTTGAAGATCAACATACAACCTTGCAACAGAAATGGGGAAAACTATGTAGTTTCTTAAACAATGCAGTGCTACAGAATAGGGAATGGCCACAAGGTGGGTGAGCAGTGATCCTGTGAACACCTTTACAGGAGCAGAAATAAAGCCCACTGCCACAGGGCGGCTGGCTCTATAAACCAAGCAGCTCCAGAATGGCCTGGAACCAAGCAGAATAGATACTACTGTGGAAGAAGGAAACAGCCAAGGTGGACAGACTAATGGCAGAATATGAGCTATGTCTGAGAGGACACCCAGTCCTCTAGAAACTCAAAGCAGCAGGGACAGTGTCACTTCTTCAAGGACAAAAGCTTGATTTCATGTTCCCGAAAGGGACTGGCAGGCCAGTCATGAATTTGAGACCTGGGAGCCCAACTTTCAGTACTTGGAGAGTGTTAATGTTTTTATTTGTATTGGCAGCTACACTAGCCAAACACAACAGCAGTACCTCACAGTTCTCCCACTACACAGTGACAGAGGGGAGAGAAAAGGGAAAAAAAATGGCTCTAATTCTACAGTTTGAGCCTTCTGACTATGTTCGCAAAGATATCAGGCTATTAGTTCCTTGGAAATACTTTTCCAAGTTAAGCATGCATTATGTATGAGGAGCTCACTTCCTTGCCAGGCACAGACAGAAGATGTTGATTTCATAGTGCAAGAGGAGGTGATAGGCAAGCACACATGCTATAAATCTCCTCCTGCCTGACATGGAAGAGTCCTTCCTAAAGCATAGAGTACGAAATGCCTTATCAGTCCAGACGATGCCCAGACAGCGCAGAGGGACAGCCCTTTGAAGAAAAGTCTGCATTCAGATAACCAAGCATATTCCAGCTCCTAGCAAACCTCTGGGACCATTCTTCCATAGGACTTCTGGCAACCAAGAGAAAACATCAGATGAACTGGGAACAGAAAGAACATTAAAGTGTTGCCTTGGTCTTATACGCTGCCCTTTCTATTCAAGTAAGTCTGTCCTTCATTTCACAAGTCTTTTTTCAGAGAGGGAGACAAACCAACCCCTAGGACTCAGAGCCACCTGATCTTCCTGTAACCAAGTGACAAATGCATTTCTTGCAATACCCTTCTGCCCAGCCCTTCTGCTCCTCTTCAAAGTGCCAGGTGATACCAACCACACTGACAACACAAAGCCTGCAAGCAGCTCAGGAAAGAAGTTGATGAACTGGAAAGTCAAGACTTGGCTGTAAATGACAAGGAAAGCCATTCTCAGCTGTCTTTGCACTAAACAGAAAAACCGTGTCCAAGTGAAAGACAGTGACAGATCATTTTCTGACTTCCTAGGAAAGAAACAGTAAATGCTTCTTTGTGCAGACAAGCGTTATGTACAAGTTTGGCAAAGAAGAGAACCAGCAATGAGAACGAAGAAAAATTGAAGCTGTTATACCAACTTGTAGCACTAACCACAGAAGCACCTTCCTAGGTACAGTTAGAGGTCTGTGTGTTTAAAACCAGACCAGAAAGCAGTGCCAATATTCTACTCCCTCTGCTCTAAAGCAATACTGGCTGCAAGATTCAGCCATGGAAAGTGGCTTTGATTACAACAGTCCCAGTTTCTGAGATGCAAGAGAAGTCTGAAAACAGGAATGAGTTTGTTACCTTTGCCTAACACACAGGAATGCCAGTATCTTGACATGACCTCAAGAGGCAATACTTAACAACCTTCACTGCAAGGTACACCAAGCAGCTTAAGAAAAGCAGGGCTAAGATTCAAGGGAAAATGCTAGCTCAGCCAGCAGCTGAATACCTGAAGCCTTAACTTATGCTGCAGAAAAGCTGGATGCAGAGCTCTTCATTGGTGTTCCCGAAAGCAGACGAGCTCTGAAGAATGCTCCCGTGATGCTTTTGGAATGGAAAACAGGGAGGGATACTAGCCTAAACAGGGTGGTCCCAGCCATCTTTTGCTGACAGCCTGCAACCCACATAGGGGCGGTCCTAGGGAAACACCACCATTTTATTAAATTGAAGAGAAAGTGCCAGATGAAAATGACAGTGATGTCTGTCTGTGACCTGCCACACAGGCACCAGAAGAGGCAGGCCAGTCACTGCAAAAATGGGCTTATGCCACAAGAACACACTGGGACTATTTGACCTGAGGAAGCAGCAGCAGATGCTACCACCAGCCACTGCCATAGTCGCTCCTATTCCTGGCTTCTGAACTGGGAAACACTTGGCATAAGAAAAACCATCCAGTCACCATCACTAGCAGTGCGCTCTTCAAAAGCGCCTTAATGGTCACAGTATTAGGTAAACACCTTGGCTATTTCTATCCCCTCAGATGCACGTTGCTGCCAATACACTCTTGGTCAGTTTGATCTGGGCAGAATTTAATGGGAGTCCAACCAGGGAAAAGCGACAGCCTGCAGGGCTAGAGGGGCACTGAGAGCACTGGCATCGCTGCAGACCCCCTGCTGTGGTACCCCAGAGGGCTGGTGAGTGCCACAAAGTGCAAAGGAGCAGCAACGAGGCCAGAACCAGAAACACCACAATTTAACTGTGCTCTGTGCTGCTTCCAGTACATGCTGAGAAAGCCATGAGCAGGGACGACGTGCACAGCTTACCAAAGGGAATGCTGAAGAATGGGCTGCATAAAGCCTTCTCAGCGGAGGCTCGCTTTCCTTGGTCACAATGAAGCATGCTGTAAGAAAAGACACCCTTATGATCTTGCCTGTGACATTCCTGCATCGACAAATTCAACTCAGGCTGGAAGCCAGTACAGAGGAATACCCTGTCTTTGGGGTGTGTATGGTACAAAGAGAAAAGTGAGAAGCACATCTTCCAATTCACAGCTGAAGCACACCAGAAGGACTCCCTGAAAGCATTTTGGGTAGGTTTTCCTTCTTGATGTCTCTCAGCCCCAAATGATGGACGTTGCCCACTTAAAAGTTCACAAGGAACATGACATGGTCCAGCTCCATCTCCCCAGGCCATTCAGCCCACGTCTCAGGCACACGTGCAGTCTCAAAATGATCACACTCCAAGGAGATCCCACATCTTTCCACAAATGGGACTCAAAGCAGCTAACAGCCCAGAGCTTGCCTGAGGACATCCCCTACTCAGCTTTACCAGTGGCTCCTGATGCTATTTCTGCCAAGTTGCGTCCTCATTCACTCTGTAGCCTCAGAGCAGAGTCACAGGACAGCGAAAACACTTGGCAGACCTTTCAGCAGAGAGCTGCACAGGAGCATTTGAATCTTGACAGCAATGGAGAAGCAGCACTGTCTGCCCCCTTCCCTCATTTCTGACAACACTCTCCTGGGGCACCAAAGTCTCCAGTTTTCTCCAAATATAACCTCATTGGCAGGAGGTGCAAAGCCCCGAAACAGCAAATGATTAACATCATGATTGATATTCTTTATGTGCTTACTCCAAACTGTGCCAAAATCAGAGGAGCTGAAGCATCTTTGCTCTTGCTTGCACTTGTTACTAAAACAGTGGCAGGGAGATTTAAAAAAACAAAGTCTTAGGTGTGGGCTCTAAGTTACTAAGAACGAAGCACAAGACTTTACAGATCACATCTTTATGCAACAGTTAGTAAATATGGTAAAATACCTTTTGATAAGGTCTCTGAGGTGATAAGTTGGAATGGCTGAATTAACCACCCCTTCACTGGCAAATATGCGATCAATGATGGCAGAACTATTTGTCTGGAAAGAAAAAGAAACAGTGCTTAGGGAGTGGGGAAAAAAAAAAAAAGACCAGGACAAAGCTTGCAATGTCCCATCATTTTCTGGACTGGATGCAGAGGGTACTGTGAGAGATCCCCGATGTCACACCTCACACATTAAAACCAGCAGGCCCATATCAGATGAAGTTTTTTTCCCATTTGCCTGTGCAAAATCCGGAAATTTCCATGTGCAGGTAAATTTGCTGTTACTGTGGACATTATGATGCTGAAAGGATACTCTTACCGGGAGGGGGGACACAAAACAAAATTATTTCATACAGAACAGGGGACAAAGACAGGCTCCAGGCTCACAACATAAAGCCGCCTTCTTGTTTTCTCAGGATATAGACTTATGAAAAGATCCCAAATTAGAGCTAACATTAGACTAAAACCAGCAAATAACTCCAGTCATTGTGCTGCTGAACTAGCTGGCAGCCATCAGCCATCCATTTCGTTCTTCCTTTTGTGCCACACTACAGCCAGTGTAGCTCACCTCCCACATCACAGCAAAACACAGGTTCCAAACACAGACTCCTGGAACCCTCACTTTCAGTAACCTGAACACAGGCCGCATTCAGACACGCCAGTCCCACAGGGAAGGTGGGTCTTTAAGGCTCTGGAACCTTAACTCTTAAGGTAATAGGATTAGACAAACATCCTGGAAGCACTCTCTAGTTGTCAGGTGCTACCTCACAAATCCAGGTTATGAACAAGGAGGAGGAGGACTCATTTGGTACAAGCAAGAACGCCCACAGCAGCTCTCACTCACCTTCCATTCCTGAGATTGGACTGTATGTTTCAGTTTCATTCCTGAGAACATCTCCAGTAAAACAATTCCCAGACTCCACAGATCCACCGCAGAGGTGCACTCCGTCTCACTCTGGAGCCCTGCCTGTGCCAGGCAGTTCTGCAGTTCTGCCTCTGGAGCCCGATACCCGTCTGTTTGAATATATTTCACATCCTACAGAAGATCAAACACACAGAAAAAGTTAACTTTCTGGATTCAGGTTCTCCACTCTATCCTTAAATCAGTTCACAGACGTCCTTCCAAATGGGTCACCAAAATACTATTGCTAAATTGACAGAAAGCATTGTACAGCCAGACACGTTAGGCAGGCAGTTCAACTCGCTGCGCTGCTGTGCTGATGAGGAAAAAACCAAGACTGTCTGGAAGAGAAAACACCTCCCAGCATAATAGGAGGCATCCCACTAACACCTGATCTCTTTGAAAGACAGCCCTGCTGGGAAGAAGAGGCTGGATGTCACTGCGGACCGGCCCATTAACCTCTCAACAGCGCAGAAGATGCTAGAAGTTTCAGGATAAGGGTTGAACACCCACGATCTCCTCCCACGTTGGCTGCATGAGAGCCCAAACAGCCCGGTCTGAGCAGTGAGGAGCAGTAACAGCTGCCATTATTCAAGTACTGATGTTCCCTGGAACAAAACGTTAAAAGAACGAAGCAGGCACCTAACGCTCAGACAAGGAAATTATCAAAGGCGCTTCCCACGCACCTCTTCCTTCTCCCCCTCGCAGCCAAAAGTGCTGCAGCAACCAACACCTGCCACGGCTGGCAGAGCAAAATAAAATGCCCACACGCTGCCTGCTTAAAAGAAAACAGGAAATTAAAGAATCACACAACTGCTGGTTGGAGGGGCTGCTCTGAAGGTCTCCAGTCCAGCCTCCTGCTCGCAGACATGACCCCACCAGTCAGCTGTGGCTTTGTCGAGCCAAGTCTTGCAAGTGTCCACAGACAAACTGCATGCTGCATCTTCCTAACATGGGAGGGCTCAGCTTAGACACACTGATGTGACACGGGGAATGACAGAAGAATATGCAAGCCTACTTCCTGGAGAAGGTGCAGGAAGGGGAATTCTTAGCAGGAGCATATATTCAAACCAAAATTATGTGGTTCCGTTCTCTGATTGAAAACGAAGTTTACAGAAACCACTTTCAGGCAACAGAGCTCAAAAGTGTTTTATGAACTTAAAAAAAAATATTGATACACAAATTGCTTATCAGCATCTCTCCTCCTATCAGCAAAGACCAGAACCTCCACCATGGCAAAAGTAGCAATTTAGCAGCCCCACCAGACAACATTTAGAGATAGAGAAAACACCGTGGCCAATGCCACAAGAAAAAAGAGCGAGATGAAATTTCACTCCTACCATCTAGAGCATTTTGAGAGGTGTAGGTGGCTGAGACCTTGCTCTATGTACAGCCATTCTCTGTTAAACAGTAACGGCAGGAAAAGTTATGCAAGGACAAGCTCGGCAGAGCTGTCACAAATAAAAGTCTTGACTCAGATAAGGAAATCATGCACGTATGCTGCTGCCCAAGGCAGGGGTGGTAAAGGGAAGCCAATACCCAGTGCACATTCAAAGTACGGTCAGAAGGTTCACCAATATAAGCCAGCATATTTCCGAGAAGGGGCAAAGGAAACTCAGCCCAAAGAAAGCAGATTGAAAGGAATCACAGAAGTAAATAAAACACCTGATCAGCTGAGGCAACTCACAGAGCAAGCAGCAAAACACAAACCTGAATTAAAAAAAAAATATCTGCATTAGACACAGGACACCAGGAGAATGTTTTTTGCTGATAGACAGCAACAGATTACCAGCACAAACCAGCCTTCAGCCAAGAATGTGGGAAAACTGAACAACAACATGGAGGAGTTACGAAGTACAAATATTAAAAACAGCTCCTGTACCAAAGAATTCAGAGACAGGTCACCCACACAATCCTCTGGTATTCACAGATCAGTGGGCTGTACCATCATTACCAGGTAAAGCAGTAAAAAAAGTACGTGAATTTAAAACCTGTACATGAGTGGAGTGCATGGAGTAGGGATAGGCCAGGACAATGCTCAGAAAAAGCATAGCTCGTTTACTAGACTTACTGCCCATCACCCAGTGATTAAAAGGCAAATTTGTTAAGAGGCTATCTGATGAAAAAGCCTCACTAATAACCCCTCGAAGCCTGTTACTGAGAAAGGGAGTGGTGAAAGGAAGATCTATCCACCCAACAGCAGAACCTCCTGAGGCTCTCATCAGGCTCATCATGAGGCTTTCATCAGAGATCATGGAAGAGATTAAGGGTAAGGACAAATGTACAAAACCCAGTACCACCAAAACAAAGAAGGGACAGCATGAAGAGGGACAGAAAGCCCAGCAAACAGGAAAAGTAAAACAGGCAGAGATCTGTGTCAGTAAAGAATCGACACTGCCTACCCACAACCAGCGTATGGGCTTTCATCAACACAATAACATGGGAAAGAAACATCCAGACTTCCTGAAAAAGGGAAACTGCTATAAAAAGGGTGAAAGTAAAGACAAGCACAATGACACTGCCAGAGATAATACAATTTACTTGGGAGGCTGGGTGAAAGTAAAGACAAGCACAATGACACTGCCAGAGATAATGCAATTTACTTGGGATGGTGAAGCATGGATTATGACTAAGTACGATAAGGGATGATAAAAGGAAATTCTTCACGTCTGGGTGCTCCCACTTGTCTGGCCACATAAAAACTAGCAAACTTTTCAGGAAGTTGAGACACTACTTTTTTCAGTGCATCATTAACTTTGGAATTCGTGGTCATATACAGCACAAAGGCTAAGACATTAACAGAAACCAGAGACATGCAAGGAGAATGGGAACACAAGCTTCTGTTTCTGGGGCCAGACAACATTTTAGCCTTTTCCAGGAAACCCTCAGCACCAGCTCAGCTACCACTCTCAGCAGGTCACGTCAACTCCTACAGCTGAAAACATCACAGACCCACACAACTCAACACAGAGCCAATTGTTTCAAGAGCAGCACGTTCCAAACCTGATTCCCCTCTTTGAAGCTAAGTCCAAAGTCAATGAGCTTAAAGCACTCCTCCTCCGCGCTCCACAGGATGTTGCGTGGCTTGAGGTCTGCGTGCACGTAGCCTTTGTGGTGCAGGAAAGCCAGGGCTTCAAGAACATCTCGGGCGCAGTGCTGGATCATCCACATGGAGCAGCCCTGGTTGCTGGAGTGCAGCAGCAGCTCGGACACACTGATGTCCAGCAGCTCCAGCAGGAGACAGCGAGACGGGCCATTTGCAGAGTAGTGGTTGGTGAACACGCCGTACAGCGTCACTACGGTGAGACACAGTGACAGGTATTGGTAACGAGCAATTAGACAGTCATCACGCCCCACTACTGCCCAGAAGACCACAAAAGCTGCAGGAGACAGCTCATCTCTGTGTGATCATCACAGCACCATCAGTGTGACGTTCAGAGAGACGGACATCCAAACTCGAGAGGGAAGCAGCATGGGAAAACCAGCCATGTCATCCCCACAGCCTTTAGAGGACAGGCTGGTCTCACAACACACAGCCAGGCTCTGCTAAAGTGATAGCACTGGGCGCTCCTGCTCAGAAGGAAAATCTCCAGGACGTGGACAAGCAGGTCCCGGTGGGTAAAATGGAGATAGTACCACTCTTTTGGGGACACGTCAATCTCTTCCCGTGACAAACCTAGCACAGTAGGAAACCGAGCTCGCTCTGGGCATCTGGCGGGCTTCCAGCAGCCGCCTCTGACGCTCAGGCTTCCTCCCTTCCCAAGCTCATTCCCACCCACGCAGGCAGCCCAGGGGGTCCTGTCAGAGCCACCCAGGCTGGTGGGCATGCAGACACCTCCTCACCGCTGCCCCGTAGGCAGCACGGCTCCTGCTGGGGTGGCTCCACCAGCCCTGCCCAACAGAGGACATAGGGGTGCCCTGCCTGGGGTGACCTCCCCTGCCCACCAAGGGGGTGACCCCAGCTCCTCCCTGCCCCTTCCCACCCTGGGCAGGTGCCCAACCTGACAAAGGGGTGGGTTACTCAGCCCTGCCTGCCCCGGGGGGGTACCGGGAAGCACCCGCTGCTGCAGGGATGCTGCTTTGGGGTGCCCAGGCTGGGGACCCTCAAACCTGCCAACCCAGGGGTGCCGACCCAAGGGGGCACGCTGGTCTGGGGGTCTCTAGCCCTGCCAGCGGGGGTCAGTTTCGGGGCGAGGGAACCCCTATTCCCAAAGGAGTTGGGGATACCGCGCCTGGCTGGGGATGCGGAGACACCAGTTCGCCCTGGGAGGGGGGTTGGATGGATACCCCGGGGGAGAGAGGGTGTCTGCGGGGCTGCTCAAGAAGGGGCCCGTTCGGGGAGCGGGGGGTACAGGGGGGTGCCCAGGCTGGAGGACAGGCCGGGGGAGGGG